TGTACGAGATCTTGGAAAGCCTTGTCACTTTTGCCGCCACTTCCTGAAATTAAGCTGCAACACTAAATTGTGTGGTCACCAGCTAAAACTGACTACACAGTACAGTCGGCTGGAATGCCGCGGGAATTATTTTTCTCTTCGAATTTGTCACCCCCGGGATGCTCTTTCGACTTTGTCATTCCGGCGCCCACGCTACCCCTTTTTAAAAAGTGACTCGACGATGCATTACAACACCTACATTACCTGCTTCGATTTCGGTTTACTTAGTAACAACTGGATGCAGATAAACATTATTCTCTCCAGACCTCACGAAATCGGTGTAAACGGATATAGATGCGTGTGTGAACAGACATGTGTGTTATCGAACCTTTGACTTACAGTGGATTTATCCTTACGAATACCACGGTGGGTCTACCAGTGGGAACTTAAATATGCAGACCCTTTTTCTTATATTTTGAATTTTCACTATGATTTGCCTGCGGGATCTGTTAAGCTACAGCTTTTTTTTACCCCTATACTACCGTTGTTCCACTAGTGAATGAGATATAGAGCCTTCAATTCACTGGCCATCGTTACATTGTTTGTATATGTAATGCTATTCAAAATGCTTAGTGAGAGGTGTTCCATGGAAACTCCACTTGAGGAGTTCTGTCTAACTCTCACTGGAGTCAACGTGGTACCAGAGTTTGGAGATATCAGTCTTTTACTCGGACATGCGGTGTAGAAAGTCATTCGTATCGTATCCCGAGCCGTACTCGACCCATTCACTTTACTGGTCGCACTTTCGCTGGATATATTTTAACACAGACTACTAGTCAATAGTGAGTAAGCGTAATAGATTGGCATTTTACTGCGGCTCATAATGCACATTCAACTGATGCGGAGAGACATTCTCGGAGTGCAAGTGGGTGACTTATCTGTGGCTGACAGTGCTTTGGCCGACCTGGGTTCAGAACGTTTGTTCACTGCGGTGATCATGCGGCGTGATGCTATAATGGATAATACTGATGAGATGAAGTTTTGGCTCAATTGATCCACCACCGTTGTCAACGCAGCAGTCACCTGCCTAAAAACATTCTCTTAAGCTTTCATGCCGGCTTTGGCAATGGTGATATGCATCCTTATGACCTCAGGAATGTGAGACGTACGTATTGTCCACTTTTGTTGACTTCCAAGCCATCCAGTGTGTTGGAGTATGCTGAATCAAAATGGGCTTACACTTCACATTCAGCCATTAATTTTGGCCATAAGTGAACCGTGCTATCACGCCCGACATACCAATGTGTGCTTGCATCGATTCGAGATCACCTCTAACAGGCGCTTGCCGTACGCTTCTTTCACATCCTTAAGCCACGAATTGTTTACTTGTCGTGTGTGCTATCGTGGGCCCATTAGCACACTGCTGTCCTGTAGACATTTTTCGGAGACTTCACATCAAATTCAATGAAGCGCAGCGTTAGGTTGAGCGACGCATTACAATGGTGAAATGCCACCGTCAGCTTATAAATCATTTCAGTATATTATTGACACAGTCTACGAACTCAGTCCCCTAGAATTAAGTGCTTGCAACGGGTGGAAATAGAGAAGGAAAAGGAGATAATACTGTCAAAGCTGTACTTTGGGTGGACGATAGTCCCTAAGTTGATTCAAGCTCCTTTGTGTTCAGTCTATTCTAAACCTGTATACAGAAATCATACTGATTGTATGATATATTTACTTAACTCTTTTCTGATAACTAAATATATCCTTGCTTTCTCCTGACGCATCAGTTAGCTTTCTTAATTCGCGCAATCGAACAATGCGCCAATGTGGCATGGCAACGGCAGATTATTTATGCATAAAGCGATTGGCTGATCCAAAAATTTAATTATTCTGTTATCACCGTTGTAGACATTAAACTGGTAAGCACACTCTTCACGGGGATTTCAAGTCGTGACTGTTAATCTTGGGTTGGGAGTCTAATACATGTACACTAGACAGGAAAGCGTGTGCACGATCTGTTTTTGAGATTGTGATTCGCAACAGTTGTTTCTGGAGTTGCCTGACTGTCAACATCAGCGTAACACATGTGCCAACAGTTACATTACGTGGGTTATCGCGCACAACACACGTACAATATTTACGTACGTAACCAGGAGGAATTGGAACAAAAGCCTGCAGATTGGAACCACAATAACTTAGGAACCAACACGCGCTATTTATGGACAGATGAGATTGCGTAAATAACCGAGGGTCGTGCTGCAAGTTTTGGTATGCACTAAGATGGCGTGCGCAAATACTGTATGTGCCATGTAATCTGACGGCCCATCGATCACTCACTTGCCGCACAGGTGCACAAGCTTCTCGTCAGACCTTAATCTGAGACTGTCCTGAAAGCAGTGCACTCTGTTCTGTTCGTGTGTTTCGAAAAGATCCACCGAATAAACGTATCATAAGGTCAATATTAGCAAACTAGCCACCACTCATCCAATCGGCTTATCTTCTTCACTGTCAGATTCATTCAACCATAAGGCACCCACGAATTCGAGAAAATCTAAGGCTTGCTACAGAAGATGTTTCTATTTTCCGACCGACCTTGCTCATCACTACTTTAAATATTTGATATCCGCACGTTCCTCGTAACTGTCTGAATGCCGTCGTAAATACCCAACTGCTGTTTCAATGGGTTACCTCCATCTCATCAACCTTTCCAGTCCGTGTACCATTCGCGAAAGCTCATGACTTCATTTCATTCTTGCAATGGGCGTGCCAGTCCTTCAAGAAATAATCGCATACTCTTTCAACTCATTCGGGTTACCAGCCGTAGGATACCTAATGTCAGTGAGATTATTTGTGAGGTATCCGGATCCCTAATCATTAAGTTATGGAGGTTCACTGACAGCTTTTTCGAGTATCCCCAACGCTGCTTTCGGCTTGGTGTGCACAGCATATCTAGTTGCAAACTCTGAGACGTCACCTCAGATCCAACTAGTAATGGGGAAATCTGCCTTGAGGCTCAACGTTTGAAGTGATTCAAGGCTCATAGGAACATCCTGCAGAGCTTTTTAAGCATAATAGTGTGACAGTTGCCAAGCGGTTAACAACTGCCTTCTGACATCTGCTATAAATTAATGCTCCTTCCTCCTTGGGCGATTTGGTTATCTTTCTCAATTTTACTGGACATATCCTTACTTTATAAACCAACCACACGCAGCTCCGCCTCATACTGACCACCCCAAAATCTCGGCGTGAGTTCTGCTTTGTAACCTTCGCGGTTCGTAAATGACGATCCCCGGGGATCGCAGACTAGTTTCCGTATCGAATGAAAGGGGATGCAAGGATTCCCGTGCTCTGCCGATCTCCTGAACTCCCACCGACTCTAGCACGGAGTTACTGTTGTTTTTCAAAAAGCCGAGTTGCGCATGACTCAGTTACTCGGCTTGTCATATAGCATTGTTGCTCCCACAAACAGAACCGGTAAAAAGATACTATTCCCTAAGCGTGATACATCCATATTTGGGCTTAGAGTGGGGTTAACTAGATGGCTCAACATTATTGAGTCTGTGCTCCCAGCTAATCGAGCCACCAATGCACTTCTACACAGGTAGGTTAAAACTACCCAACTACACAATCCATTTCGATACGTCTGGCGGTTAAATAAAGTATAGTATGTACTTTGTCACTTCCAAGTTCAGAGCACTGCCACTGTCTCCTTTTAGCTCCCTATTTTCCCCATTCGACTAACAATAATAATACTAATAATGTATATTCTCTGGTTTCCCAGACATACGGCATGAATTTTGTAAAAGTTGTTTAGTATAATATTTACGGCATATTCCAAATGGCAGCTGAAGTAAAAATCCTGTTTTTTTAAAATCCATGTTTTTTTCAGTTTGTGACCTTGAATGGGCCCAGAATAATTCATGGCTTCCTGACGGAAAGCGTCGCATACTGACGGAACCATGTTTTCTTTTCCATGGATGAAGGATGAAGAGCAATTATGTGATGAGAATAGAATCATAAAAGCTGAAATCATGATTTCGGAACATAGCATCCAATGTAGACTAAATACATTCCATCCATTGTGACGTTCTAAACAGGAGTATTGCATGACCGGGGTATCTAGTTATTTCCACTTCAGCAGCTGTACATATGGGCCCAGGCAGATGGAATGGAAGCTTTAGTTGTTGTGTGTGAGGCGGACTTGGTTGGCTATGTTCAACTGGCTCAGGCGTTTTGGTTTGACTGAAACAGTCTTATGCGAATAAGAGAAAAAATGAAAGAGAAATGTTGGAAATAGGGGTGAAGAGATTGGAAGCAGAATCCAGTAGCTTCTCCTTGCTGCCTAAGATGTTTGTATGAGGGTAACAAGCGAAACAGACGAGTAAGAGAAGAAGGAATGGTAAAAGTGAATGAAGATGGATTGATTTTCTCAGCGTTTTCTTCTCAGCTCACACATTTTGTTATGGCTGTAAGGTAGGCGTAGCTAAGGAAGCAGAAAATGAAGGGTGGAGACAAAAATGGTTATCTCATTCTCAGTTTGCAATCCACACTTCGTGGTATGTCTGTGTGATCTGTTTTCTCGACTAAAGAGTGCAAGAGAGTTTGGTAAAGTGAAGGGCTTAGCTAGATACGTAGCATGTTTTATGCATATTTGTAATTAGTACACGTATGTCTCTGCCACTAGCTCAAATATCACTTGTTTCTTTGCTACTTAGCTGCAAAATTGTTGTCACATATTGAACTGTCAAGCAGTTAAAAATTTCTGTTTTGTACGCTGGTTGTAAATCGCATGCTCTTATTTCAATAGCGAGGTTGTTCCAGTTTTCAGTCTATCTGTTTGGTTAGGATTGTCTTTGAACCTTAGTTTTCGTTTTGAACTCCTTTATCATATATTTTTGGAGTGCAGTTTGACACACCCTGCTCAATTAATATAAACAATACTGGGCCGAGTAATCAAAACAGGGTACAAGGTAAGCAAATTGGTCATGCAGTTCATGCACTGAAGTGAAACTTCAAGTTCAAGTTCCAGGGAATGTGTAAGAAAGATCCTGGGGATAGGAAGAACACCAATGGTGATCCTTCCAAAGAAGATCCGTCTTCATTTGTCTTCCCGACACTCCGAGAACGTCCCGTGAACGCAATTTGCTCTCACACCGTTGCCCATCAGCGTCTGCTCCCCGAAGGTTTGGGCTTTCCGCTTCACAGTGTCCCTCCTCGATACCTGTAACGAACAGAAAGAGGGAGACAATTAGGTACCCCGCATATTTACGTCATAGCACCTCAGTGACCCTGCGATGACCAGTAGAGCTAACTCAGAGATGTCACGGTCTGATAATCCAAGATGACGAAGAGCTCCACCAGAGCCCTTCCAAATATAACCACGGTCCGAGATGATGATTGGCCAATGCACCACATTGGTCATTTGGACCCCCTTGCCACCAAGGTAGGCCCGTATCGAATTGCATGCCTCCGTATACTTGGCAACTTTCTCACAGTATGCCAGCTCTTGTCTGTGCGCCGATGTGATAGGCACGAGTGCAACAATTATCGACCCCTTGACGCAACTTATGAGGTCCGGTTTACAGTATCTCACCGGTAATGGAATGATGGGCTCAACATATACTGTCGCATGCTTCCGCTTGGCAATCTGGGTAATTTTCTGTACCACTCGATTGTGTCTCATGCACCGGGCGTCGTGGGTAAGGCAACACCTCTGCAAGATGTGCCCGATACACTCTGGTTCCTCACAAACAACACAGTACTTGACATCATCAGCCTTCAGGGAAATCCCCCTGGAGCTCCGCACCTTTGTCGGCAAGAGTCCGCCCCTTAACTTGGTAGCGCGAATAAAGAGGCTGGGGAAGACCCTGCGGTCCTGTGACATGCATTGGCTTCTAGCCGCGTCTTGTTTGTCCAGTTGTAAACTTTCGCAGTCACACGTTGACTCAAATTTCTCTCTCCAGAGACCCTGAACTGTCTACTTATCCTCCACCACAGTCCGTATTAGGCGGTCTGGAACACTGGCACTTCTGATGTCAACCTTGCACGTCTCTGTCTCCAGAAGCCCCCACATCAACGGCGGCGGCGACGAACAGAGCCGACTGAACTTGGCTATTTGAGCAAAGGGAACAAGAATGCTCCACAAAAGTAAGCCAAGTCCTTCCAGGCTCCGACTAGAGTAAAAGAAAGGGAGTGAAAATTCTTTCGGGTAAAGCATCCACTCCCGCACTTTGGCTCGCACCATCTTATTCATCTGCTGCATCGTATTCCGATGAGCATTCCCCAGAACCAACTCATGAAGCAATTTGGGAAATACGAAGTCACGCACTATATGCAGACGTTGTTGCGGTTTCAAAGGGGCACGAGAGATCTCTTTGAGCCACTCAGCAAGAACAGCCATGCTTTGTACCTGGCATCTCCCCTTCCAGTGGAGGCGCAAACCAAGGTAATGGATCTCATCCGCCACCGCAACTGGTCTCATCTCACCCCCTACCAGGGGATAAGCTTGGGGCACTTGGACGACGCAATTCTGTTTGCTGAGCTTTTGGACCGTAATGGCCCGACACTTCGAGGCGTTCAACGACATACCTCCCTCGGAAAGAGTCCGCTGCAAAACCACCAGATTCACAGACAATGCCTCTTGGAAGGAAGCGAACAATATAAGATCATCCGCGTATGCTAATGCACCAAACTCTTCGCCACATAGCCGCACCCTCCGATTAGGCAGGGTAGCAGTAATCACCTCGTTCATTAATATGATGAAAAAGAGAGGAGACAGGGAGTCCCCCTGCCTCACGCCTCTGTGACAATCCAACACTTCGTCGCCAAGAAGCAACATTGAGTTGTATAATGCACGCAAATAACGCTGGCGCTCTAGTTGGGCTCCATGTGCTGCTGCGGCTAGAATGATTGTGTCAACTGACAACAATGTCGAACGCTTTGGCAATTTTCAAGAAGGCCACCGCCGCATTCAGGCAGTCGGACTGAACCGTTCTCAAAATGCACTGTAGGACATATGAGACCTCAAGACACCCATCCCGCTTTTGAAACGCGACTTGAAGTGAAGACAGGTTCAAACGTGCCCTCTATCTTTTAGCTAAAACTTTATGAAAGGCCCGCAGCAGAACCGAAACTGCGATCGGGCGATAATCTGACGGCGTGCTGGGGTCCGACCCCTTGGGCACCAACGTCAGCCGTGCTGTAGCAAGAGATGCAGGAGGGCACACATGCACCATCATAAGATTGAAAAGCTGTGTGAATACCGTCAATTCCAAGGATTTACAGTTCGACACCGACAGCTTATCTTGTCCTGGGACCGTACCTCCGGAATTCCGCAGGGCATCACCGACATCTGCCGCAGACAATGGCTCAATCAGACCATAATCATGACCTTCCTCTATGGGAACCGGTCTCTCAGCCACCGCAATTTGCACACCAAATACAGTTCTCAAATACTCAATCATCGTCTGATCGAGCCCCACTCGTTGTGATTTGTACGCGATTAGCCAACTACCATCCAGGATAGCCTGTTCAGCATCTTTACGTTTCGTAGTCCAGAGTTTCTGGATTGCTGCATAGTTGGCCTTCCGGATCGCCCGCCTGCCATCCGCAGTACAGGTTCTCCGTTGCCTCGGGGGATGCCATTTGAGTGGAAAGAATTGCTCAATAGTCTCGCACAGACGCACCACGCCTACACTTTTTGTGAGCGTACCGTCTTGTAACTGCTAAGCAAACTGAAGCAGCTGACCAGCCAGGTCATTCCCGTGCGAAAAGCGCTTCAATTCAGTCAGGAATGCCCCCGATGTTGCCTGGGAAACCTTTACAGGGACGTTTAGCACACTGGTTGCGCACGCATCGGAACAGAAGTCCTTCCAACCCAAAATAAGCATAATTCATTTCTGAGGAGCAGAACACGTAAGTTTATGTCCCGGAGGGATTTGGCATGGCGAGATCACCAGGACTGCTCGAATGCCGAAATCTGGACTGCATGCGTGACACATCGTAACTTCTGTGTGAAACTGATCCGCGAAGACAAGGTCAGTCATCAGCAGTAGTTAATGAAGCGGTTCTGCACGAACCGCATACTCCTGTACAGGCACGTTAACGGCCTTCGAAAGGTGAAGCGGGGGGGTTCCAGCACTAGTTACAGCTGATAGGTGCACGCGATCAGCAATGGAAGCAGCTGATCTCCTACGGATTCATTACTCCCAAACTTTTCAGGTAACAAGCCTAAACATTCTCCTCATTTCTAACACTCCACCGTCGGGTTTAGACAACATCACCTTCACTGCGGAAGCTGTGTTGAAGAAGTTGTTGTCCTTGCATATCCACAGTTCTCCCGGAGCCGACAACATCCGACCAAAGGCTCTGCAGGCGGTAGCTAGTGATCTAGCAGAACCACTGACTGTTTTCTATCGGCGATGTTTAGAAGAGAACCGTATTCCATCATTATGGAGGCGAGGGGTTATCACCCCTATCCATAAAGGAGGTGGCCGCACTGATCCTGCCAACTGCCGTCCAATAACACTACTTCTCATACTATCCAAAATGATGGAATCAATCATCGCTGATGCTGTATCTGGAAAGCCACAATTTAATAGCTCCAGAGCAACATGGCTTTCGTCAAAAGCATTCGTGTAATACTAACCTATAAATTGCACGTAATAGCTGGACTGAAGCTGTTGATGATGGAGTAGGAGTCGATGTCATCTACCTGGACTTCTCAAAAGCGTTCGATCGCTTAGACCCTCGCATTCTCCTTCAGAAGCTCTGGAACTACGGCATTGGCGACCAAATCCCGAGTTGGATTAGCAATTTTCTACAGGAACGACGGATAGTGGTGAGAGTCTGAGAATCGTTTTCTGATGCAATCGATGTGGCGTGTGGAGTACCACAAGTGTCGGTTCTTGGACCTCATCTATTCTTGGCGTTCATTAACGATTTGGCAAAATCAATTACTTCGATTTCCTATTTTTCGCTGATGATATCAAGATATGGCGAAGGATCAGAGGACCGGATGACCATGAACGGCTCCAGTGCGATCTTAATACAGTGTCGAACTGGTCAGTTCAAAACGCCCTAAAATTCAACGTAGACAAATGTCGCGTTGTACAATCACGCCATGGACATAACTATACCTACTTACTTGGGACAAACGGATTGCCGATCAGCTCCCAGGACCGTGACCTTGGTGTGCTCGTACGGAGCGACCTCAACTGTTCAAAACAGGCTGAGGTAGCTGCGAAAAGAGGCAACCAGCACGTCGGCATGTTGTGAAGGGCGATCGTGAGATTTGACTTATCAATCTTCCCAATGATGCACAATTCCTACGTGCGCCCACATCTTGAATACGCTATCCAAGCTTGGTAACCTTGGTTGGAGCGCGACCTAGAGGCGTTAGAGGCACCTCAACGAAGAACAACAAAGAATGTAAAGGGCTTGCGCTATCACTCTTACCACCGAAGGCTGAAGTTGCTGGGAATTTTCAGCGGACGCTATCGAAGGCTGCGCGGTGATCTCATATTAGCTTATCAGATACTGAGTGACCCCAACCACGTATGCCGCCATTTGCTGAAACTTAGCCACAACACGCAGTTCAGAGATAACTGCTTAAAATTGAAGGAACAATATAGCCGTCTAGAGTGTCGACGGAATTATTTTTCCCTTCGGCTTTGTCAACCCTGGAACGCACTCCCAGACTCAGTTGTATCCTCTCCTACCTTGGACGTTTTCAAAAAACGATTAGATGTTGCTCTTAGCTCCCAACATTTTGTTACCTAAACTCCTCTATTGTGGATTAGGCCAAGCATGCTTTTCAACAGGATTTATGTATCAAATGGACCCAAGTGAGCGACCATATTTTACTTTCCTCACGCCTTATATCAACAAACACTTCACTCCAGTGTCTTTCTGAACGTTTACGCTCGATTTTATTTTAAATTTTACACTGATGTAATTTATCGAAGTATTCATCTAGGCAGACTTTCGGTAGATGACTCAGATATATTTCGATTTCCTCATATTCACCCCAAACATCCTACGGGATGTGTCATGCACTTGCTTTTATCCCGTGATAAATCATTGTTCATTGTTCATGATTTGGGCAAGTATTTCGACAGACCATTTGGCAACTTTCAAACCATCCTTAGGACAGGCACCCTCCTCCTCATCGGCGATTGGATAGCTTCCAGATCCACCTTGGGAGAGGCACACTCCTCCCCGTCCGGCGGTATTAAATCAACAAACTCACTGCACACTCCGTCCGGGTCAGAATCACGCCAAAGACCGTCCAGGAATGAACGGTACTGTTCCTCATAGGAAAACTGCAAGAGATTTGGTTCAAGGGCCGCTTCGGTTTGATCTGAATCCCGGTTAGTGGTCGTCCCATCGGACACCAAGTCACTTTCCGTCAACTCCGCACCAACCTCAGGAAGCACAACCGGAGGAACACGGACAACCACCGGTGAGTCCCAAAGCAAACCTTCCGAACTAGGCCTCCGTCTCGGCCAGCGCATCTTCATCAACTACTTCTTGATGCCTTCGACACTCCGCCCAGGAAACTGAGCAGCGAGCCGACGATGGACTTCCACTTTGCGTACAGCGGAAGAATCTGGCTTGCCTGCGCAAAGAACCGTGGGGCCTCTTCTTTGGACCAATCTCTTCGCCTTGGCACCATACGTAATATCTCCACATTGAGCTCCATGGGATATCTGTGACCATTCTATCGGACAAGCCCACGCTTGGTACTGAAGGCTGCACCACAAAAGTAGACATACCCGTCCTGGACATCAACGACATCACCAGGAAAGCTATGACCCTCAACCACCTGATCTTCCATTACCATTATAGCATCCAGATCAACTTCACGCTCCACACCCAATCGCTCTCTCCTTCCAGAAGCCTCCGAAACCAAAGAGAGGATGACAACGGCATGATCGCTGTGATTTTCAACCAAGCTAGAGAGTTGGCCTGAACTCGACTTCATGTAAAGTTTAGTAACCACAACTTGACCCAAGCCGGGTGGTTAGCCCTACATGGGTTGTCCTGTATCTTGGTTCAGAGATGAGCAAGCCCATCTCCCATCCAGCGGTCGCCACGTGGAGGCGCCCAGGACGTGTAACTACTATCCCCCACTTCTCGACCAAGGCGGTGAAGTTTATTCTTGGAACTCCTAATTGGGTATCTACCTCCTTGTCTGAAATGCATAGTGATATTTGGTGCGAATACACGCTTATGGGCCAAGTCAACTAGGAACCTTAATCCCAGCTATATGCGTCGCAGCTACATTGCCTCCAGTCGTGGCATTTTACGACGCTCGCAGTAGTTAAGTTTGGACGACGAGTTAAAGTAGGCTTTTGGGAATGATCACTGCACGTTTTCTAGGCACACGCGGTCGCGCTTCCTGTCGCTTATAAAAATAATCGACCAGTACTCTGGCACAGTGTAAATGCAGACCTTAGGCAAGTGCAGCTTAGTTTCAAACATCGGGAATAATTTTAGGATGGTTTTTACACTTCTTCGTGGTCTGGCCCTTATGAGCTCAATCTGCTCACAAACATTCATTTTGCTAGAGCACCGGATGCCTGGCATCAGTATAATATTAGCACAGGGGATAAGTTTGCCACCAAGGTCAAGTGCATCTGGCAAAAGTTCGCACCTGCATGTCGGGTCCGCTGCATTTGTCCGCTAAGAAGGAGATTTGCAAATCGGTGCACCACGATCCCATGCGAATGTTTTCTAGAGTTTAGCTCAAAGATCGGATACAGGAGGAGTAAATTATCTGTATGTCATTCACAAAGATATACCGTGTCCCATAATTGTTCATCAGCAGTCTAGGCCAACGCGCACTTTAATGATTTAGTAACTAACTCATATACTGAATACTGAAAATAGAGAGTCAGTAGCCATGAGTCTGTGTTGTTCCATCGTAATCAAGTCGGGCACCTGTGCGGATTCACGTCTCTGAAGTCTGAGCGTCTGCTGCTATTACAGCTGGGCCGCATGCTATTCGGGTGCGATGCGCTCATTCTACCTGAAATCTGCAAAGTAGGTGTCCAGGAATTGGTTGAATTCCGACACCAATTTCGCCACAAGCTTTTTCACAGGTAAACTGCTGTAATATTGCACAACTCGGCGCTCGAAACATAGTGGGTGAGCTATCCGTTTTAGGTGCCCACGGACGCCGCGGATTTTTGCTTCACCGTGCTGGATGCTACTTTTGCTTTGGGAATAGTGTGTTATACGTCTTTTCTCTATGTGAATTGTGCACCAATACTTTGCTTTTGATGTTTTTTTCCGTCTGTGCGAATTTGGTGTATATTCTCCGGCTACTGTCAGAGATCTCACTGATTGGCCCAACTGCCGTCTGTGTCCGCCATCTTAGATTTGTTCTACAGCGATCTAACCGGTGTCTGTCAGACCACCAGCCTGACTGGAGGCGTTTGGATTCAGCATACCAGTGTAGACGTTGCAACGAACGACTTCCTCAGCTCTGAGAGTCAAGATAGCACGTAGTGCTTGCGCACGGAAAGCTAAGCCCAAAGCTTTCGAAATGAACGTTAGTTGTGGCGTAGATAGCTGGGTAAAACTTGTGCGATTTGGAAGGGAATGCGGAAACTGCCGAAAATACTTCTATTCTCGATGTGCTCGCCATAGTTTCGGCCAGATAAAAAAATACTTAATAGTACTACCGATTCTCTCTGGTTCTGCACTGAGTATACGTTTATTCCACTCATCAGATGTATAACTGTGTTGGCGCTTATCGTGTTCAAATACTTTGCTTTGTTTTGCCCTCGATTCGCTTATCCTACTCACACTTCCATTTAGCACTCGTTGGCCTATCATGTGATCTTGCATTTGATTGGTTGCAATTCGAACCTCTATCGATTTACTTGTACTGCACGTGTGTGCGGACAGTTTCCTGCATACATATGTTCTGGTGCTGCTCTGGTCTGCTACCTTTTCGAGATACAACAAATTGGCCTTGCGTGTTACCGATGTCTTTGCATGCTACTGCCCCTGCACCTTTCTGGACTGACTCTGCGTTTACCGCAAATTCAGAATGCTGGGAAGACTGGAAATTTAGTTTTTCAGATTATATTTCTGTGCTATCAGTTCTCAATCCATCCGTGCCGCTGAAAACGGAGGATACTTTAAAGCCTTTGCGCATGCACCACGGTTTAGAGGGTCGACGTATATTTGATGCTCTAAACCTGCGGGAGGAACCCACGTTGATAGAGACCTTATTGGTCCTCGATAAACATTGAGGTGTTCGAGTGAACACCTATAGTTTTCGATACAATTTTGCGCAGCTGAAACAAGCATCTGGTGAATCAGTGGATGCATTCATTTCCCGTCTTGTTTGTTCTGTTCGAAAGTATGACTACAATAGTATTCCCAAGAAAGTGGAAGAAACTATGCTAATATAACAATTCATTTTTGGTCTCACGGATTCTCGGATCAGAGAGGGTCTCTTAATGAAGAACGCAGAAAAGCTCACATGGGACAGGGCCTGTAACGTGGCTCGAGCGAAGGTCGCAGTCACGGAACAAAACAAAATTTTCCACTCTAACACAGAAGCTACTGAAATTGACCGTTTAGATTCAACACGCTCTCTGACGCGATCCTCAGTTAGAAATAAGTGTTGCCGTTGTGGTAATGCTGAACATGGTGCAAATGATAAGTCATGTCCTGCAAGGAGTGAAAACTGCCGGAATTGCGGTAAGACCGGTCATTTAACGCGGGTTTGCCATTCCCGCGCCATTCCTTTAGTTGATTCTACGAATGACTCTAGTTCTTCTCTGGTCACCACTGAACAATCAATATATGTCGTTAATGAATGTGAACATCCACTTTCTTCCCCAACTTAAGAACTCAAACTGCCTTCGCCAGATATTCGTCGTGTGCTTTTGTAGTTAGAAACAATGCCATTTATCTAGAAATGGAACTAGATTCCGCGTCAACAATCATAGTTTTGTCATATTGTTTTTACAAACAGCATTTTGGTCAGCTAACTGTACATCCTTACGCTTACACTTTCAGCAGCTACTCAAATGGTGATGTCCACATACTTGGTTTTGTTATGGTTTCAATATTTCTTATAAACGGCAGGAAGTGTATAGTTTAAGTTTACGTCTCTAAAACTGATAGTAAGCCTCTGTTAGGACGTAATGCTATGGTCTTGTTGAACGTATCACCATGCGTCAGCCGGATGACCATTTCCAGTGTCAACCTTCATTCGTTACGTTCCAGATACCCAAATCTCTTTCTTCCGGATACTGGTAGAGTCCCAAAAGCAATGCACCGCATTCGGTTGAGCGCGGATTACAAGCCATTCAGCATTTCACAACCTAGGCCTGTACCTCTTGTCAAGCGAGAGGCTTTATCGCAAGCTTTGAAAAACATGGTCAGGAAAGACTTGATAGAACCCATACAGTGTTCTGAATGGGTTCATCCACTAGTTGATGTTCAAAAGAAAGATGGCTCTATTCGTCTTTGCACCGACCTTCGAGCGCTTAATCGACAAATAATTGTGGACAAGTTCCCTCTGCTTTCTCTAGACGAGTTGATGGTTAGGCTTTCAAAAGCTAAACGTTCCTCAAAACTGGATATTCGTAGTGCATACTGTCACATGCCACTGACTCCAGATTGCCGACATTTGACTGCTTTCCTCACGCAAAACGGTTTGTATCAATACAAAGTGCTACCAATTGCCTTAGTAGTGCCCCAGCAGCTTGGAAGAAGGTTATTACTCTATCGTTATCAGATCTCAAAGGACGTGTTTTGTATGTGGATGATATTTCTATCTTTGTTAGTAACCCCACCGAACATCAGGAAAACCTTCATAATGTGCTGCATATACTGAATGAACTAAATCTCCGCCTACATACCAGCAAATGCCAATTCACTGTAACGGAGGTCGAGTTTATTGGACATGTTATTTCTGCTTAGGGTATTAGGCCTAATGTGCAGAACACCAGAGCCATTCTCGATTGTCTAAAACCATTCAATGTTACACAGATGAAACATTCCTTGGGTTTGTGTTCTTATTACCTTCGACATTTACCGAATTTTGTGACTATTGCCTAGCCGTTACGGAGGTTGACGCGCCAAAACCAGGAGTTTATTTTGGCCACTGAACAAGACAATGCCTACATGACCATAGGAGCGATGCTTGAATCTACTCCCACGGTAGCGATCTTCAATGAGTACTGTCCAACGTTTGTTTCAACAGATGCTTCAAATGTTGGCTTGGGAGCAGTTATGTCCCAGCTGCACGCTGACGAGGAGAAAGTGGTTGCGTACGCATCGCGTACCTTGTTTTATACTGAAAGCAATTATTCTACCGGCAAGAAGGAGGCCCTCGCATTCGTCTGGGCATGTGAGAAATGTCCCTTTTACTTATTCGGACGTCGATTCACTTTGTGAACCGCATACTGCTCTTGCAACGCTACTGAGTCGCGGTGACAAAGGCCAAAAGCCGGTACGCTTGAGTCGCTGGTACTCACGTTTATTG